AAGGAGGAAAAAAACTCTAATTCCAGCAGTAGTCTTTAAATAAAGGTGTACTTTGAGGTGTGTACTTTGTCAACTATGGAACTTTTTTGTCATTTAAAATATTTTTATGATTTTCTGAAATTTTTAATATTATTAAGTTATTATTGTTAACTACATTAGCAAATAAAAAAGTCTCTGTAGTCACAAAACCCACAGTTTTTGGTGAAAATCAAATATCCTCCTCTTGTGTCTGTCAATGTTAAGAGATTGTTTTTGCAGTTCAAAGATTTACTTTTCTTATGTTGTCTTTGGCTGACCAGGGAGAATGTACAGGGTGATTCAAAAGTCATAGAAATTTTAAAAAATTAGTAACTCACAAACTATTTACAATAAGATGATGCAGTTTTCACAGAATTGCTTAGAAAGAAACAAAATTTTTTTCCATTATAAAAATTTTAGTACCAAAATAGTTACATTTTTTGTCATAGATGGCACTTGATAAGATTGCATAATTTGTGAAGTTGTTACTAGAGCTTACACTAAGAACATTTTTATGTTTTTATTTTTACTTTAACAAATTTACAAATAATTTCAGTTTTTTACAGTGCCATCTATGACAAGAAATGTAACTATTTTGGTACTAAAATTTTTCAAACACCTAAAATAATCCTGTTTCTTTCTAAGCATTTCTGTGAAAACTGCACTTATTGTTAATAGTTTGTGTGTTATTAATTTTAAAAAATTTTTGTGACTTTTGAATCACCCTGTAGAATGACTGTGTTCACAAGTGCAATGTTTTTCTGTTTGTAAACTATGAAACCGATGTATTGGATTCCAAAAATGACTAATTGATTTTAATTTATTATTTTTTTCAGTTTTGTATGTTTTATGTATAATTTTATGTGCAAAAAAATACAATTTTACTGTTAGATATTTTTAGAACCATTTTTAGCACTTTTTTAAAAAAAACTATCACTTTTTTAACCCCTTGTTAAAGAAAATTTGCATTTCAACTTCCCAAGGTTACTCATGATAAATTACTCTGGTTTTATTGCTAAAATATCTTGTNAACGCAATTAAAATTTCTATTAACTAAGTTAGACTAAAAGGTAGCATCTATACGGGGAAATAATAAAAGAAAACAAACATCTCCAACTCGCTACTTGTTTTTGCATAAAATTATCTTCAAGTAGGAGACGATTACATAAAAGCGAACTTTTATGATGGATGAGAATCGGAGTTGAGGTTGTGACGACATGTACGTAATTAAAAGACTATCCAGGTGTGTTTAATTGCGTTGCTATGGAGACTTACATGTTGGAAAATGAGTTGATGTCTCGAATGTGAGATTTTCGGTTCTCGTTACTTTCCTCTGCAATGAAATGAGATTAACGTCATTATGAAAGGAATGCGTAATATCGAATTAAATTCTGATGATTAAACTTTTCGATAAAACATTGTAGATTTTGTTTAAAGGTTTATTATGTGGCCAACGTCTCTATTGAGACGTTAGTGTAATGACATTCGGTGACATGTTTTACTAAAAAGCCCCACAGGTCACATTGAATGTTGGCTGAAGGTTACATATATTTTTATTGTATACGTTCAATGTTATTTATGCCTTGTTTTCGTCTGAATACTCACTAACGAGTTTCAACTCGTTAATTTATGCGAAAACAACAAAATAAATTATGTCATTGCGGCTTGTAGACGTAATATGAACTGTTCTAACCTTTAATACAAATTAGACAAGGAATCGGTTGTGATAATTCGAATTAACTTAACATAATTAACGAAGATTTTCTATTGAACTCGATGACAGGTTAGGAGAAATTTTAACATAATTTTCCAAACTAAGGAGAATAATGCAGCGCTTTCAACTTTTCCGAGAAATTTACACTCTATTTTGCACACCTGAATAATTATTATTCTTTTTGTCAATCAAAAATATTTATTTATGAATTTGTTTATAATTTCTAATATAAAATTTATTCAAAATTCATATATTAAAATTTATTTAAATATACTTAATTGACTCTAATATATAAATTAAACTGTATACAATAAATACTAGATATACGTAAATAGATTACACATAAATAGACAAAATAATTAAATTTATTATTTTATTTATAGGTTTACTCTAATAATAAATCAATTTATTTGTTTAAAACTCTTAATAATTACCATAGATTAATTACTGAAATTTCTTTAAGGACTTAGTTTCAACTCTATATTTCAAGATCTTTAAAAATCATTAAGATTATTCGCTAATATTGATTTTATTTCAAGCACTTTTTTTCCTAACATTAGAACAACGAATTTACAATAAATAAATCAAACGGTATGAAGTAGTGTATTTTAGTGACAAGGGAAGCATTCGATCAATTATCACTGTAGCTTCCGAGGTTTCTATATTTTTAAGTTTCTAAACTGTTGTTTCATTTCGTTTCTAAATTATAAATTTTTTTCTAGCTTCAAAATGGAGAATTTAACGTGCAGTGGATTAAAATTGAGTGGATGAGTTTAATTGCTGTATTCCCAGGTGAGATCTAAAATTTTTTACTTGCGAAAAAAAAACATATAAATGAATCATTAAGCTTTTATTTTGTTTTTTAATCGAACGGACTGACTATATTTTAAATTAAAGTTGTTTTAAAGCTTGTAAGTAAGCCTAATCACTAATTGCATCGTAGTTCCGAATACAATAAAATTAATTATTAATATAATAAATCATTTTGTAATTAATTAAATATTGGAGAAATTGATTTTATGTTACATGCTATACAACCTCTAGACATGTATCTTAAACGCCAAAAAATTAATATTCTAAATCGGGTGTTAATCAATAATAATGACAATTTGTCGAGCTGTTTCAGTAACGAGAAACATTTAATAATAAACCAGGAGCGGTATGCAATCTCGTTAAACCAGGGGTTCCCAAGTTTTATTTATCGACCCCTTTTAAGAAAACTTCTTTATAATCGACTCTCCTATGCGACTAGACCTCATATATAATTTTTAAAAGGCGCGTAACACTTTTAATATCTTAAAACACATTTTCTATATTTTCAAAGTTATATTGACCCCTCTCAAACTTCCATTGACTTCTAACCCTGCGTTAAACAATAGTAGGATTTTTTAAAGCTTTCTTTACAAAATATACAATCTTTTCTCTCAATTTTATCAAATCGCATTACCTATTTATATATTATTAATTTAAATATTAATAAAGTATAAACAGTTTTTAAATATTTTTAAATGTATGGTTTTATCGTGAAATTCTGCCCGTACGGATAGAAAGTGCTGCTCCTAATGCAATCTAGGAAACACTAGGCACACACATATATACATTTAATATGGAATGAAACCAATTCAAATAAATTTAGTTATCAATTTGAAGAGGCAATAAGTTTCATGAAACTCTAATTATTCTGAAATACCTATACCACTGCTCATAAAGATAGCAGTAATCTCTACTAATATTTTTTTCCTTTTCTATCTCAAATCCAATATCTCTCGTTGGCTATATTATATGTTCAATCTGCCGGTTACTTCATTACTTTCACTAGACCATCTGCTTCTTTTTCATTTTCACTGAAATTAAAAAGATATTACATGTATATACCCGTAATGTATTTCAGTAGCCGAAAATAAATTTGCCATCATCAATTTCAAATTGAAACCGATCTTAGTTTTTTATTCTTCTGTCATTTTTCGAAGTAAAGAGCTAGGAATTTCAGGTGGAAAAAATATATAAATATATCTAATTTTACAATTTCAATATCTCTGAAAAATCAAAATTTGTTTTAGTAGTTTGCTAGATCTGTCTAATAATTATTATTCCGCATCGAAATTCCCTGGACGTTAAAATCAGAAGACTTATCAATTCTGATATTCGGTGCCATTACTGTTTAGCAAAATTAATAGAGTTCAACGTAAACCAGCAGAGAGATGCCAAGCAATAATGAATACGATTGCACAAACCACAACTTTCGGTGTTTGAATCGATACGTATGCTGCATATATTTGTGGTTTCAGCTTCCCTCCTCGCTGGTATTAACTGCAATTAACGGATTGTCTTGAATTCCACTTTCCTCGTCTTTCTACTCTGCTGCTATTGGTGCATTAATGTTATTAGAGTTCCGCATCACTCCGGTAGTGGTATGCAGTTTTTTTCCTGTTTGATAAATGTTTGCTTGTTATTATCTGTATTAGCTAAGACGTCGTAATTTCTGATTTTTAGTATGATTCGCGAGATAAATTCAACATACGTTTATTTAACACCTTTCTTCTTCTCCTCCTCCTTTTCCTTCCACTTCTTATTCATACCAAATAGCATTAATTATATATCAATTATTGAATGAAATTATGCATTGATGGAAATTTAATGCAGTGTTTTGCATTAAGTAAAGATGTACTTTTATCGATATGTAGTTCAGTTTTTTTTTTTTCGTATTTTATTATTCATTATAGAAAAGTTTGAAAACTCTTCGAAATGATATTATATTGCTGCACAGTTTGCTGGATAGAATGAAAAATCTTTCGATTCGATCACGTGACGTGCTTCGTATCTCATCTTTCTTTTTGTCTTTATTTTTGGTCACCATGGTAACATGACAAATGGAAATATGGTTTTTGACATTTGATTAGTCAAAGTGACATTGGATATTCTTGGTTCTTGCATATTATTTTTAAAATTCTTTTACTGATCTTAAATGAATTATAAAACAGAAATTAAAAAAAAATTCGAAGAAGTTTTGTTAGTAAAAAAATGATCTGTGCCATCTGCAAGAACGACAATACTTAGGTTATTATTTTTTGTTAGCGGAATTAACGGATATATGAAGAAAATCCTCGCTAATTAATTTTAATTTAATGATTTTTATGCAGCGTATATAATATACAATCCCCTAATTAATTTCGGATTTACTACAGTCATTGTTAAAAATATAAACAATTATCGATTATTATTTAGAAAAGAATGACGTGATAAACAAAACATACTTGAATATAAAAAAATGGAGGAATTAAAGGAAGAGCAAGAAGAAGGAGTAATTGCGGAATATAAAAGTAATTTCTCACGTTTCGACAACGATGGAGACGGGGTGTTGACCATTAAAGAATTTGGTCGACTGATGCGCTTCCTCGGTCAAAGCATGACCGAATCCGAACTGCAAGATGCGATGGAGGAACTGAATCCGGGAGGAGAGGGGAGTCTTAATTTTCCGGGATTTTTGACACTGATGACGAAGAGAACGAAAAATGCCGATAACGAAGAGGAAATTCAGAAAGCTTTTCAGATATTCGACACTGACAAAGATGGATTTATTACCGCTGCAAAATTACGTAAAGTAATGACCAGTTTGGGTGAAAAGTTTACTGAAGTAGAAATAAGTGAGATGATACGAGAAGCTGATACCGACGGTGATACCAAAATAAGTTATGAAGATTTTGTTGTAATGATGACTTCCGATTAAAAAATAAACGATCGTTAATTCTTTCCGCTTCTATGTTATTAAATGTTTCAATTTTGTTTATATATTATCCAAGTAGACTTTGTTTTTAAATAGGACTTATTATACTGGTGTTGTTTCAAATTAACACTGCTTGTTTTTGACTAAGTTTACCTCCTTTTGTAAATTCGAAACTACACCAGTATAATAAGTCCTATTTATAAACAAAAGACTATCATAATAAAATCAAAATTTATCTTCGTAATCGGGCATTTGTTTCATTAAAACTTACGTAGAATATTTACTTTGTACTTATAAATATAAAAATTCAATTTTTGATGCAGTTAAATTTAATAAAATTTAATTTCTCTCTTGGGATATTGTTATATATATATATATATATTTTTTTTTTCCTCTCACCCCCTCTCGGATGAAGCGGAAATTTGTAGAAGTACATTATCCCCCCTGGAATGAAAAGGAAGGTTGAACTGAGTAACTTAAAATCTACTTTTTTTGATCTCCTGGGAAGTCGGTGGACACTAATGTCTTGTCTTACCGGATGTCGTTCCATTAGTTCCTAGGTAGTACCATTCTTTACGGAATTAAACGCCATTTCTAAATGGATACTATAACGTATAAAAGGAAAGTGGATTAAATGAAGAAAATTGTTAATTTAACGCAGATTAAATGTGTTTAAAATCTCTACTTTCTCTATGATTAATGTGCTCTTACAAATACGACGGCAATGTCCGATTCGTGTGTAATACGCTCCCATTTAACACAGACGAAATGTGGATTTATAAACATGCTTTATTGTGATATGTTACTAATGTAACACGTTCAATAGTGGAGTCAACAAGAATAAAATAATATCGTTAAGATACTTTCGAATGTGTTTTAAAATACTGTTTAATCCTTCAATTTATTCAAATAAATTTCTAAAATAAAATACTGAACGGTGCTACAAAATTACTCAAGTTCTCAAAGGATCAAATGCACTTTTCAATTACATATTCGATATATTATTACTTTAATAATAATATTACTGTATAGGATACATTTTTGACATTTACTCTTACTTTCAAGTACTATCGACCGCAGTAAAGGTCATTAATATGCATTAAACAATTGTTATAATTGCGATAATCATAGATTTGTTCGAAGCACACTATAGCAATAATAATTGGCCATGCCCTATCCTAAAAATTCAGAGAAAAATTATGCTAAATTTTAAGTTAAATTAGCCCTTCTGCTACGTCAATAATGAACTATTGGCTGAATATGTTAAATTTGCAATAAATTCTCGATTTTTTCTGGCATTGTTCTATTTACAGAATATACAACTAAATAATCCGTTGATAAAATAACGACGTCAATGTCTGTATTAAGCATGGATTTTAAAACAATTTTGCAAAGTTATATAATTCGTTGACAGTAAGTTGAATAATCTAGAACGATAATGGTATAAATTTTTGATCAGATTACAATTGCTTTATATAATAATGTAAATTGTTGTAAGAGACACAACAATTGTAACGTCGATACTTTGTGAAATTCAAACTCTGTTGGATACATGACTCGAAAATGCTATTACAATAACTATGTTGAGGTTGTAAATCTATCATTCTTTACATTACATAATATAATCATTACTAAAAGCTACAACATAAAATTTTATTAATAAGTTTTTGAATGTTATAATATTAGTAATTTTAATATCATGTTTCTAAGTGTCGAAAAATTATCTTTGTTAGAAAATCTAATAACTTACATAAGTTAGCTCTGTACTATTTATGCTATTACAGAAACAATACAGAAATAATTAATCATTAGAAGCTAGGGTAAAAATTAATTATCTTTTAACGAGAAAATTATGTTAATTTAGAAATAAATTATGACGTTTAAAATAATATTTCCACAATTATATGAAAAATTATCAGGGCGAAATTCTTCAAGAAAAAGCTTTAAAATTCTTAAAACAATAACATTGTTATTTACTGACTCATAGTAATAATAATAATAATAATAATAATAATAAACAAAAAATATACCGAGCCAATCTATCCCTGTGCTAAATTATATAAAATTCCAGCAAATCCTAAAAATATTTTTAAAATAATTAGATATTTTTCTTTATTTATTGTGATATAAGTACTCATTTTATAATAAAATTAATAACATGCAATTGTTAAATTAATTCAGCGAGAAAAATGTATTTAAATACTGATTGATGCATTTCTTAAAATTACATCTTATGCCGTATCTTTAGCACAAATCATCTGTTTACTATAGGCTCATAGTTTCTGAAAAATTACATTGTGAAATTTTTATAGAATTTTCGAAATTGTTTGCAACTAAAGATAATATTTAGTTTCTCTATCGTTTCTACTTCTTCCTTTGGGTATTCTTAAAAGAAATAAGGGAAAATGATGCATTATAAAGATTTTCTATCTAATTCAATTGGTACCTACATTTTTTTTTCCTTTTTTCGTTTTTAGAAAACCTGAAAGGGAGACAACGAGATTGAGGAAGCGAGATTTCGAAAGAAGGAATTCTCCTGTGTAAACCTCTCTCTAGTATAAGAAAAGGAATTCCATTTACAAGTAATAGCATTCTTTACTATATTTTATGCATTATAGTAAAAGAAGAAACCACCCAAAGAACAAATAAAAGAAAGGTATGATAACTATACAAATTTTAATATTATCTCAATATTCATACTCACAACTGTACGATTCCAGTTGGATAATTAAGGTCAACCCCTCACCCTTTCGCTTTAAGAGTTTTATTTATTGTAGGATTTTAAAGTAAATCTTAAGACTCTAAAGCATCCTTCGACGATTCAAGCTGCAGTCTGATGTCTGTAACATTGGGATTTGTACATCAACCTTCGGCTACCGACACGTGTCGTGACGTCGACGACTTACCTGATTGCTATTGGGTACTTCCGCTTGTGACGTATGCGTATTAGTTGATTACGTCACAGAAAGGTGTTTCAAAAAATTTTTCGAACGGTGGAATGCCGATTATACACGATTGAGGTTTGCATAATCAGAATTTTTATATGTAAAAAAACCTATTATCAATTTTGCTTTTTATTGATTATGAAAATGATTAATAATTTTTCTTCAAATCATAATCTCATTATTATTTTTACGATTTTTTTTCAGACTTTCTCAGATTTTTATATACGAGGAAAAAAGAATATAAAAATAAATCGGAATTAATTAAAATACGAGAAAGATCGAAACTGGTAAATATAAAATTCATAATTTTTTATTATTCATTTTATACTTTCACTTTTGTTGTTATTCGATATATTTTGTATAATCTTATTAAATTAAATGTAAAAAATTTATTTACTCCAGTATATTTTTTAATATATCGGTATTAATATAAGAAAACGAAATAACAAAAGAAAAACAAGAACATTTTTATTTTAGTTATAAATATACGACTTTTATATCTGTATTCCAAGGTATTTATGAAGAAAAGTGCAAGCTGTTCTTGTAACTGAAGTCAAGTCCAATCGATAATATATCTCTTCTCCTTCCTTAGACTCTTCTTATATTTATTAGAATACATTTCGTATACATGTGTTTATCAGTAAAACGTTTTAATATTTCCTAGACTAAATCTTCATGCAGGTTGTTATAAATCTGAAAACAAATAAAGGATTCACATACCCAAGTAGTTTTCTATAACTACTTTCTTCTTTATCTCGAGTGGTATTAGGCACTGTGCCGATTAATAGATAGTTGTAATCTTCTATTGTTTTTATCAATCAGAACTCATTTGAGACTGCAATCGATTACTCCACAAATACATACAAACAGGGTAAAAAAATGAACAGTTAGCTTATTATATTGATTCTGTTCCTAACAATTTCGAACAAATGCGTTAGCTAAAAATTAGATCAATTACTTGATAAATACAGTAACTACGAAAAATTTTCTCGCATAATTATTATGTATAAATGCAATTATTAAACACTTCCTGAATTGGTTTGCTATTCTAATTTTTAAATGTATTTTTGTGTTTTTTTTTCTAGTTATTGAATTTTAGAAAATTTTTCGTTAATTACGATTACTTTTTAAATTGTAATTATGTTTTTGTGTTTAATATCCGTTACCAAAATCATTTACTAGATCAAAGTTTCTGATTTCTTTCCAATTAACGATATTGCTCGTCTTCAAATATCAGATCAGTTGATGGAAGTATATCTCATATATATATATATATTTTTTTAAAGATATTGTCAAAATTATTTTGATGCTTATATTAAAATTTTACTTTGTTAGTCGTAAAGAAAATGATCTTTCACATATATAAATAAAATTAACATGTTTAAATGTTTGTTAGCCTGATTTATAATATAATAAAAGTTTTATGTAAATTGTTTTGTTTTAGCCTATATTTTTTAGCTTTAATTTTCTAATTGCAGACTTATACTTTCCAACTGTGTCAATCTGTTTGTTCTTTGTTAACTTCGGAGTTAGAGAGATGAAAATCGAGACCAGATATATTGATAGAAAGCTTAGTAATGATGGTTCACCTAATTTTTAAGGCCTTTAGGCGCACTAGGCGCACGCCTAAAGGCCTTAAAAATTATCTAATAACAGATAATATGCCTCTAAAAATTTATTGAATGTTTATAAGGATCCCCGGCAAGAACAGTGACATAACTCATAAATTGACAATTTTATTGCCCCCTTTTTAATATAAAAGAGCATTATTTACATAAAGGGTCTTATAACAAAATTACGCCTAAGGCCTGAAAGCAACGTAATCTTCTACTGAAGTTTAGGGTCTGAGGTCCTGATTAACTAAACACGTACTTCCGGTACAGACTAGAAGTCATACGATTTTCCTAAATTAAACAAAGATTAAAATTGCAACCTAGCATTGTGAAAATATTACAATAATAAACATTCGATTGTAAATTTAGTTTAGATTATTCTACTAAATAAAACTTAATTATATATATAATATTAAATTAAGGTTTCTGACATAATTTTATGTAATAACTTATCATGATTTATTGGAGATACGACGAATTTGTTAGGAAAAATAGAAACAGTCTGTTATAATACATAAAACAACGTTTAAAAATAAATTATATGGATATATGTTAACTTCAAAAAACATTATTCAGTTTTATTCTTTTCTTTTTATGTCAAGTTATTTCTATTTAAATTGTCTTATTATAAACTGCACATATTTTAGTTCTGATTCGTCAGTTTCGAATCGATTATATTTATTTTTGCAACCGATTTTTTCGCATCCATCATAATTTATACAATTTTTTTCACAAGATATTTATATTTATCTATAAAAATAGGAGTTTTATATTCATTTGAAACACAGCATAAAAGTCGCATTCACTTTGTGAAGTTTGTTAATTTAAACAGAAACTGATTTCAATATTTATTCACTGATTTGGGTAGTAATATCACGGTATGTTGGATCTTTTACAGGTTACATTGTCATTTTTTTTTGTGTTAGAAAAGGTTTAAGAATAATTAAAAAAAAGGCGAAAATTTATTTCAATTTAAATTCACCTTGTTCAATTTTATCTCGGGATAATAAAAAGTCATTATTTTGATTATTTTCTTTTATATCAATTCTTTTGTAAGAAGTAAGTAAAATATAAATTTTAAAATGTACGGGAGATTAGGACGAAATTATAAAAAATTTTTTTCCATTCCAAGTAAATAATTCTCCTTGAAAGCGATTTTAAAATGTTTGCATTAGAAAATTACAAGTGGAAACAGATTTTAATAAATTAAAAAATGATTTACAATTTAAAAATTTTTCGTAAAATACAAAATAATATAATAGTAAACAGTCTGCAATTTTATCTATTAAAATTTATTAGTCGCATGTTTTTATTTGTTAATTAGTAATTAATTAATTAATGCTTAGTTGTAGCATTCATTTTTATAATCTTTTTTTCAATTATTTTATTATTGTCTGATCTACATTTATAATAAATAATGAATAATTGATTAGACAAATATTATTTTATATTTTACTTGTTTCATATTTAAATTATGTATTCTGTAGCCTCTTTAATCGCAGTTATTTACAAGGAAACTGGAGAATTACTTTTTAGTTTTTATGTTCTTCTTCTGCATTTTTATTTACGTAATGGTAATTTTTCTGTTATGTTTTGACTTCTTTATTGAAAATAATGGTGCTCACATTTTTGTATTTATATTAATGTTATGTTTATGTAAACAGTATTATTATGGCTTTTCAGCCATACTCTCTCGTTACATAATTTATGTTTACTTTTTATTATGTTTCTTTATAGAATATTCTCCCACCGATAATAAAAATAATAAATAATTTTAGAAATTTAAAAAAATATATTATTCTTATAAATTTTGTAATGTTTATTTACATTATTATGTGATTGATTTATTTTGTTATAGATTTTACTGTTTTTATTCTGTTATATATGCATCTCGTGCTACTACCGTTACAGACCACTCTTATTGGGCTGCAATTTTCTGATTATAGACCTATACGTCCTTACTGTCGGCTGTCGGTCCGTCCGTTATTCGTTATTCTCGACAACGGAGTTAGATACGTGAAAATCGAGACCAGATATGAAACGCTTAACTATATATGAACCTTTGGTCTGGACGGGTAGCCATTTTGTTTTTATTTTTCGGCTCTGTTATATATAACAGAGGGAAAGTATGAAGATCGGTCAAAAATTTACCCCCCCCCCCGATTGTTAATTTTTTATTCAGAGGACTTTTAAACGTCGGGAAATGCAAAAAACAAAAGATTCGGGGATTTTTTCTGTATGTATGGATGTGTGTGTGAGGACACGATTTTGTTTATCTCGTTTGAAGCTTAATAACTTCTGTGCTTTTTGTCAACAATTTCTGAAATTTCATAGGGAGGTTTGTGTTTTAGGAGGTTTTATGCTAGTAAATTTTTATGGTTAAAGGTAAAGGAAGGTGGGAGATAAATAGAGTCGTGTGTTGTATCTCGAATGGGGTCGGTCTTAATGCGATTTTTCTCGTTATTAGCATTTTCAATTTTTTTTTTTTTTTTTTTGTAAAACTCACCCTACACTGAAAATTAAGCTTTTTGCCATTTTATAACAGTTAAAAAATATAAAAAAGTTGTTTTAATAAAATATACTAACAGATGGCGTCATACACACAGTTTTTAATGTTTCCGGGAAAATTAAGCAACTCGTTGCTGGATTTTTTTTTAATTAAAAGATGATTAATAATTTAAGCCCGGCATTGTGACGAGATTTGTATCTATTATTTTCTGTTATTCTTTTTACTTAATAGATATTAATTAATAAACATTTATTTTTATATTGCTTGAAAGATGTATAATAAAAGCTTCTGTATTAGCTACTATCGATGTTTAGCGATAGTAAATAATCGAATTTTATATTTATATTTATTCCAAACTCTTAAGTTAAATATTATTATATTGCTGAATTTTGAAATTTAATCTCATTTAAGAATTGTGGAGTGAATAAATATCAGTTTCTGCAAAAATAATGTAATGTAATCAGGGCTGACATTAAATCTTTCGTATTATTCGTGCTCGAATGGCTTTGGTAAAAAATTTACAGATGTTAGAAGTCAACCTTACAAGTAAATGAAATTACCGATCTTGCTATGAAATTCATTATCAAGTGTACTTATGGTATAAATACATTTATAGAAATATCTAGTGTCACGAACCTGCTTATAGATTAATATTCGGGTGTCAGTTGATAATTTGTTTGAATGTCACACCTGTCTAAATCACACTCGGTATTATTTAGCACAAAATCATATAATTAGTAAACACTTGTTCAAATTTACAAGTAAA